AGCAGGTGTGGAGACGGACGTTGTACAGGTGGTATCGCCAACACCAGTCGCTGTTGATGCTGCCCAAGAAGACATTGACAATCCCCCGGCAGCTTTAGATTCCGCAGATGAGCTGACAGAAGACGTCATTTCTTCGAGACGGCCGCTCCTTGATGACAAATTGAAGAATCATAAGCAGGAGAGGCTGAAGAGGAAAGCGAGAATTGAGCCTCAAACCTTGGCACTGGCACAGGAGGACCTTCAGATGAAGAAGAAGCTATTTGACAGAATGGCGCAGGTTGACAACGACCATTCCAAGACAATGGAGAGCCTGAACTCAAATATGGCGAGAATGACAGAATCGATCAGTTCAGGTTTTAGTATGTTGCAGACCCTGCTTGCTCCACAACCGGCTATGCCTCTGTCTCAGCACACACATTCTATTGGTACACACACGCACAGGGCTATGCCACACCCCGTACAATGCGAAGCCAGCCACGACAGAATAACATGTTTCAGCCTCCGGCATCACCGTTTGCCAATAGCGGCAGCTCTTTTGACCTCGAGTAATGAAGCCGCTTGTTGCAAGTTTGATATCTACTACTATCAGAGTTTAAGTTCTATTCCCCCATCTCTCCTTCAACCCTTGTATGGCCTTTCCTACATTTTTCATTCTAATCTTTCTTGAAGTTTCTCGGCAATTCTGGTTTTCCCCTTCAACCTATCTCAGCTGTGTCTATCTGGTGACAGTTTGAATCTGGCATTCTGCAGCCTTTCTCTATTATTAATTGTATTTTGATTCAGGCACGTGTTTCACACCGTGCTGACCACGTGCCTGAATCATATTGCCAGACAAGGTAAATGCAATATTAAATGCGGCTTGAAAGTGCAACACGTCTTTCTTGGGTTTGGAATCCGCATGGCATTTAAGCCAACAAGCATTGCTCTTGCATGGGAACCTTACTAGCAGACACACCATTCAGGATTCGTGTGATCAAGTTCAGTAGGCATTGAAAGCGTGAAGGACATGTTATAAGTAGCCTCTACTTTACCTACAGTTCTACATTGAAATATGAGTATGTTTCCTGAGGTGGGAATGGAAGTATAACACCATCCCGGAAGTTACCATTGGTTCTGGTACCTCGGGCTTACCAGGTGACACCATGGTAACAGGCACATGACGCCGTTTTTACAATGCTTCTGAAAGAGTTTTACTATCGTTTTTCTTGATAATTATCATCATCCTCTTGTCTGCTGTATGGAATCTGGTGTGCTACTATTGACAAAGAATTAATGTTCTATCAAAATGCGATTGTGCCAAAAAAAGAGTGCTACCGTACGTCTGCGCCTTTAAAGCTATGACGTAATATTCGACCACACCTACTTTCCTAGCAGCTAAACATCCAAAATGACTCACCCACTACTCCATAGCATAAACCTGATTTGTGCCGTCAAACACACACACACACACACACACACACACACACACACACACACACACAGTCACCTCAGACATGCCCATCGCGGAAGCGATGATAGCGAACAGCTATGTTAGACAGCAACTTGTGCTGGGATTGCACTATTCAACAGCTTGCAAGGCTGATGAATTGATCGCCACTAATTTTTAGCCTGGTATCCACCACACAGCTGATTGAAGTGGCTTTTCTGGCCAGTGAAACACACACACACACACGCACATGCACACTCGCACATAACACACACACACACGCACACACACACACACACACACACACACACACACACACACACACACACAGTCACCTCAGACATGCCCATCGCGGAAGCGATGATAGCGAACAGCTATGTTAGACAGCAACTTGTGCTGGGATTGCACTATTCAACAGTTTGCAAGGTTGATGAATTGATCGCCACTAATTTTTAGCCTGGTATCCATCACACAGCTGATTGAAGTGGCTTTTTCTGGCCAGTGAAACACACAAACACACGCACATGCACACTCGCACATAACACACACACACACACACACACACACACATAACACACACACACACACACACACACACACACACACACACACAACACACCATAGGAAGATTTCTTGCTATTAACCAAATCTAATACCGGTATTTAAGTAAACATAATCTAAAACTAATCTAATAAGTCTAACCTCGAGGGAAACAACATTATAGCAAATGAAATGGATTAACTACGCACCCATCCTAAACACACATCAAGGCAAAGTCGGTGGGCTACTTCCAACAACGTTTTCTTACGATATTCATCGTTTGTGATATTCGCCAGACGAATATCACAAGAAAACGTTCTCGGAACTAACCCACCAACTTTGCCTTCATGTGTGTTTAGAATGAGTGTGCAGTTCACCATTTTCATTTCATTCCTATACATGTAAGTTATTATTCCTAAAAGTATCTGGGAGCAAACCTTTCTTACAAATCATCGCCGAAGTCGCAACCACTACTTCGTACTGTTGTGCCCAGCGCGGGCTTGCGACTAGTTGGTTTGGAGGTGACAGCGTTGCGAATGACCGAGGGTCCTCGACGTCTGTCTCACCGTCCAGGAGCGACACTGACTCGCGCTGCTATCTGGTGTTCACGAGGTGTTTATCGCGCTGGAAGCGGAGCGTCTCTGTAAGTTTGTATCCCTGGTGATGTTTGTGCCTGGAGAGCACTATATAAGTGGTGCTCTTCAGGCACAATCTTCCTCAGCCTACTCAAGCTCAACTGATGAGGGGTGAATTCCCCGAAACACTGTGTATTGAGCAGGGAGTGGTGCTTTCTTGCAGGTTTGCCGAGTCGAAGGTTCGATGGACTTCTCGTGTGCTCTGGATGGCAGTCGTGAGTCAGTCAAGTGTCAAGTAAAGTCGGCGGAATAGCGCGAGCTCCGGTGTGGGGAGCAAACCTTTCTTACAAATCATCGCCGAAGTCGCAACCACTACTTCGTAGAAGTATCTCGTCGCAACTATCGACTGTACTTAACGCATAGTGAAGAAAATGTGAGACTAGCTACGCTATGGTATGCCCTGTGAAATGAGAGGAGGTATTTCATGACAGTACACCTTTCATACCTGTCACACACATGAACAATCTGTTGCATGTTTCATTATAAAGTACCATGTTGCTACAAAAGAAAACACACGTTGTTTTTTTGGCTTTTTTACCGGCATGTTCGGGCTCTCCGCCTTCTCCGTGAAATAATAAGAAAAACAACCACCAGCATAGATGACCGCGTTCCAGCTCTCCGCCTTCTCCGCAAACAAAATTAAACCAGAGTAAAAGAAGAAGGAAAAAGGACAAATATATGGCCAGTAATCTACGAAAATCACCCTTTGGTGACTTTTTGGCAAAAATGAGTTTTTTCATGGAAAACAACCACATATCCATGCTACTCAAAATACCAAAGTTTCAGGGCAGTCTGACTGCTCCTTGCGGATATATGAGGTGGTTTGTCTAGGACACTCCAGTGAAGAATTTGGGGAAATAGCCCAAAAAAATTCTGATGTTTTCTGCTTTCGTGATGCTATTTCACAGGCAATGAGAGAAGAAAAATAACTACTGTTGACATGGCAATGTGGACACAAGTCCAATTAGGGCTCTTCTGGCAGTGAAGCACCTGCTGCTACATGTAGCTTTGGGCAGTTTTAAATATCTCTATTCTCCTCATGGCCGCAGTGTTGTCGAATCTGCTTGTAGAGGTATTCTGCACGTTGGTTGGGCAATCGTGCTGGCGGGATACTTGGAGGTGGACCAGCAGGCAATAAGGAGGCGACATGAACAGTAGATTTCAGTACAGTAGTTGTGTGGTCACCCAGAGTGGTCTATCCCAACTGGACACTCTTCATTGTATGCTCTGTTTAGTGTTGCGTCATGTGCATGAATACACACAGCCTTGCACACTGCTGTTCCAGCAAAAGCATACTCAAACGTAATCCGACCTCTGACGCCAGCTTGGGCTGCCGCCACGTGATGAGACTCTTCACCACGTCTCGCTAGAGCTTCCAGCTTTCCCAGCAAGCAGCACAAACTCTCGTTGCTTAGCTCCTAGCACGCCGCCAAGTTGCGAACGCGCGGGATGTCGTCAGGTGCGACGTTGGTGAAGCAGTTTGCACCCTGACACCCACAGCCTTTCTCAACGCGAGCGACAACGTCTTCAAGTGTTGACACAGTAGAAGCTTAACCTTTTCGCTTTCGCTTACCGGGGCCACTTGCAGCTGGAGGCTGATCGGCCTGCGCTGGCGCCGCTTCATCAACATTTTCCTCCGCATCACTCTCTAGCACTTCTGTCGTCGCGAGCTCAGTTGGCTCGTCGTCAGGACTCTCATCTGAGCACTCGATGTCGCTCCCAAAAAATAAGAGATCATCGTCCATGGTCCAGAAGGGCAAAAGTATCATCCACCGAGAAGCCTACAACGGTTTGAGCCAGCGATCACCGTCTTCCACCTTCCGCCATCGTCACCATGGTCACTATCCAAAGACAACCTGCTGTCAGAGTTTGCGCTTGGTCACGCTTCACTGATCAATCTTTAATCGCGATTTTCTCGAAAAATTTACATCTCACCGAAGGGTGATTTTCGCAGATCGCCGGCCATATCATAAAATTATGATAACATACACATAATATGGTGCATGGCTAGCAATGAAGACAAATTGGACGCATGATCAAGAAAACGGTACAGTATGCTAAGCAGCTGCACAACTACCACTGAACGCAAGTGAGCAAACATGAAGCAAAATAACTGAGTACAAGAGAAGAAAAGGAACACATGAAAAGGAATAAGAGGACCTTGTCAGGCTTGTGTACTTGCAACTGTGACAAGACTAGGGCTGAGAAGTAGAATGATTGCCACGATGACTGAGTCCCACTGATTACGGATCGAAGTAACGGGTCAAGATGCGCCTGACTTTCTTCCCCTCTGCATTGTTACTCTCTTTGGGGGGCTCCTTTGATTGTTGGTAGTGATGATCATACTGCAAAGCACACTGCACTTGCTCTTCTCTCAAACTCTCGCCATTCATCTCACACTAGTTATGCAAAACAAAGCAAGCATAGATGACGGATGGCAAGTCATCCATATTGACATCCATTGCTCGGCGAAGCATACCGAACCGTGCCTTCAAGCGGCCGAAAGCGCACTCAATGACCATTCTGGAGCGACAGAGTGTTAGGCCAAAGTACTGTTGTTGACAGGTGGAGCCTCCGCCAACATACTCCTTCATAATGTAGGGCAGCAGTGGATAGGCCGGATCGCCTAGCAGAAACACACCGATGGCATTCTCGTCATCCAGGAGCTTTCGGGGGCAAGGAGGAATCGTACCCTCCTTCAGGAACTGGTTCAGCCGGGAATTAGCGAACACACGCGCATCATGGACACTCCCAGGCCACTTTACCACTACATCCATGAAGCAATAGCGATAATCACATGCTGCCTGGACGTTTAAGGAATACCGGCCCTTCCTGTTGATATAGTCAGTTGACTGATCCTGCGGCTGCTTGATGTCCACATGCGTGCCATCAACTGCACCGATGCACTGTGGGAAGCCATGCTGTCTGTGGAAGTTCTTGACGAGGTCTCCCACTGCTTCCTCCGATGTGGGCAAAACAATGTACTTGGGGCCAAGACATAGCGTGATCGCCTTCGATACTCGGCGAACTATGATGCTCACTGACGCTCTGGAGATACCGAAGGCGTTGGCTGTTTTTCTCAGGCGGCCTTCATCACTCACATAATGCAAGAGTACAGCAACTTGCATCTCCACGGTGATGGATGCCCGCATATTAGTGTGTTGCTTTACGATGTACGGACGCAGCTCGTCGCACAACTAGTCGAAATTAGTCTTACTCATGCGAAGGTTTTCCTTGTATTCAAGGTCAGGTGAAACTCCAGTCCGGATATTATCCCACCAAGCCGTTGTTCGTCCTGGCCGAACCCAATACCGTCGCTTGGACTTCATAGGCACACATGCCTTGAGCTACTTATTTGCTGCCTTGCCATCAAGTAGCACTGCATGAGCTCCGACATCCGCTGCTGATATTGTGACTGGCATCGGCTTGCCATTAGCACAATGGTGCTCGCCTGGGCTGCGCACAAGCTGCATATTAATGCAATCACACTGCAACGATTGCCTTCCTTTTCTCCTGTTCCTGCAGCGGAAAAGGACGCATCTTCACAAGATTTTACTCAACTGGCAAGTGGTCAGTCTAGCCGCGTCAATCTGGTAACAGGACAGGGGTGAAGAAAGTTTAAGCCTGGCATAAATACTGTTTAACCAGTACTACTACTTCTTACCATGTACAGCATGACACAACAAACACAGCATGCAAACTCGTTTGTCCTGAAGAAGAGAAGGCGCGCGCGACTGATGGAACACACTTCTAGTCCAATAGTCCAACGTGCGTCCACTTTTTCGTGAGGGACCCTAGCTACTACTAATAATAATAATCCCCCAACTACTACTTGCCCCAAAGCAAGAAGTTCTGTTCCCGCGTGGCCGCTGTGGATCACGCACATACGACGACACTCCCCACGACTGATGGAACACACTTCTAGTCCAATAGTCCAACGCTCGTCCACGTTTTCGTGAGGGACCCTAGCTACTAATAATAATCCTAGCTACTACTACTTGCCCCAAAGCAAGAAATTTTGTTCCCGCGCGGCCGCTGTGGACCTCACACATACGACGACACTACTCACATGAACTTTCATGCGCCTGATGCCATGATGCCATGATGCCATGATGCCATGATGCCATGATGCCATGATGCCATGATGCCATGATGCCATGATGCCATGATGCCATGATGCCTGATGCCATGATGCCATGATGCCATGATGGAACACAATTCTAGTCCAATAGTCCAATAGTAGAACGCTTTTTCGTGAAGAATCCTAGCTACTACTACTTTTCCCAAAGCAAGAGATTTTGTTCCCGCGCGGCCGCTGTGGACCTCACACATACGACGACACTCCTCACATGAACTTTCATGCGCCTGATGCCATGATGCCATGATGCCATGATGCCATGATGCCATGATGCCATGATGCCCTGATGCCATGATGCCATGATGCCATGATGCCATGATGCCTGATGCCATGATGCCATGATGCCATGATGGAACACAATTCTAGTCCAATAGTCCAATAGTAGAACGCTTTTTCGTGAAGAATCCTAGCTACTACTACTTTTCCCAAAGCAAGAGATTTTGTTCCCGCGCGGCCGCTGTGGACCTCACACATACGACGACACTCCTCACATGAACTTTTCCGGATCCTTCGCGCTTCGTGTAGACGCGCGAAAACGATACAAGCGTGACGGTTCCGAGGCCCAGTTCCATTTCAACTTTTAACACATTCAAATATTCCCGGCAGAACATTTCCGTTTTCAAATTCTTCCGACTTGGCCAGCGTTTTGCTTTTCTTCCGTTTTGGTGTCCAAATTTTACGTTTTGATCCGCGTGGCGTGTAAATGAATCATGGATCCGAAAGGATTTCGTTGCGTTTTCGCCCCCAGCGTTGTCGTGTAAACGCAGCCTCAGTCACACTTGATTATAAGTCGCACTTGATTATATGTCACACTTGATTATAAGTCGCGCTTGATTATAAGTCACACTTGATTATAAGCCGAGTCGCACTTGATTATATGTCGCGCTTGATTATAAGTCACACTTGATTATAAGTCGCGCTTGATTATAAGTCGCGCTTGATTATAAGTCACACTTGATTATAAGTCGCACTTGATTATATGTCACACTTGATTATAAGTCGCGCTTGATTATAAGTCACACTTGATTATAAGCCGAGTCGCACTTGATTATATGTCGCGCTTGATTATAAGTCACACTTGATTATAAGTCGCGCTTGATTATAAGTCGCGCTTGATTATAAGTCACACTTGATTATAAGTCGCACTTGATTATAAGTCACACTTGATTATAAGTCACACTTGAATATAAGCCGAGTCGCACTTGATTATATGTCGCGCTTGATTATAAGTCGCACTTGATTATAAGTCGCACTTGATTGTAAGTCGCGCTTGATTGTAAGTCGCGCTGGATTGTAAGTCGCACTTGATTATAAGTCACACTTGATTGTAAGTCGCACTTGATTATAAGTCGCACTTCATTATAAGTCGTACTTGATTATAAGTCGCGCTTGATTGTAAGTCGCGCTTGATTGTAAGTCGCGCTTGATAATAGGTCGCGCTTGATAATAAGTTGCACTTGATTATAAGTCGCGCTTGATTATAAGTCGCACTTCATTATAAATCGCACTTCATTATAAATCGCACTTCATTATAAATAGCACTTCATTATAAATCGCACTTCATTATAAGTCGCACTTGATTATAAGTCGCACTTGATTATAAGTCGCACTTGATCATAAGTCGCACTTGATCATAAGTCGCACTTGATCATAAGTCGCACTTGATCATAAGTCGCACTTGATTATAAGTCACACTTGATTATAAGTCGCACTTGATTATAAGTCGCACTTGATTATAAGTCGCACTTGATGATAAGTCACACTTGATTATAAGTCGCACTTGATTATAAGTCGCACTTGATTATAAGTCGCACTTGATTATAAGTCACACTTGATTATAAGTCACACTTGATTATAAGTCACACTTGATTATAAGTCGTACTTGATTATAAGTCGTACGGGACATGACGTCAAGACAACAGTGTACATGTACTTGCTAAGCAGGGAGTCGTAAAATACCGGTATTTTACGACTCCCTGTTGCTAAGTAAGTATGCAAGGCATTGCACGCACACTCGACTCATGTGCGCAAAATATTTTTGTGAAAATGTAGCCCTAGGCGCTAGGCCCTTTCTAGCTTTCTACACCAAACAAAACTGTTACTCATGCACAGGATAGAAAGATCAATACTAGCAAATTAGAACTTACATTGTAGTCTGTGGGCTGGTCTCCCGAGTAGCTGGAACTGGTCTCAGACTCTCTGGAACTTACTTGTCGACTCTGCAACTTGTCTCTCCTGCGGATGCCGCGGTCTTCCCAGCCGAGGACAAAACCGACGACTATTTTTCCGCTGCCACCATTGTACCCGTATACTCTCAGCACTCAAAGCACATACTTGTAGTTACATAAGTAGTTATCATTCGTTCATTGGGCGCTTTCGATTACACGCATTTCAGTCAATTCTAGAATTAGTTATTGTTGATGCACAGTTCGATTACACAAAAAGTGACAAATTCCGTCGTTAGAATTGATTTTATCCAATTCCGTCGAATCTATCAATTCTGAAGAGAAGGCGGAATTTCTCTAATTCTGGCGCCAGAATTGCACTGTCGGTGTGCTACCCGTTTGGTCATGACTCAAGCGCGCGAAGAGCCTCCCTGGCCGGCGTGTGCGCGATGCTAGGTCCACGTGCGCGGGATCGATAGCCAGGGTGTACGTGTCCTTTTTTGCGATTCATCAATTTCGTTTGTGACATGACATGAATAAAAATTAATGCGTTGTGAATTCCAGTCGTTCGTTTACAAGCCCGGCGCGGAATACGCTCATTCTGGTCATTCCAGAATTGTGTAAATATGTAATCGAAAGCGCCCATTGTCTCACAAGGAGAAGAAGAAGACCAAGGCAGTGCGAGTATGCGCACAGCTATCCATGCATTCCGGCTATGGTGTACTATTTATGTGTATACAAATTACGTGTCATAAAGTAGCCATGCTACACACACACACACACACCTGTCCTGTCCTGTCCTGTCGACCCACTGCCTTAAAGGTTACGTGGTCCCATTGCGGGAGGAGGGAGAGGAGCAAACACGCCGGTGCCGGGTCAGGTCCCTGGACTGCCGAAATCTCCGAGAGCAGTGCTGACACATTAGTGGAAACTTGGCACGTTCATCCGTTGTTGGGCGGTTCTGGCGAGGTCTACAAGGAGCGGAAGCGGGCTGGCTAGCGATTGAGGCAGGCTGACACCTGTGCACAGCGAGTCCACCCCTGCTACGGTACCATCTCCCACAATCCGCGCATTGACATGCACCACGCTGCTGATGGACTGGCTTGCGACGCTCCGCTGTGCACTTGTGGCGCTTAAGATCACTTGGTCTAGAGCAGACCTTTCCACAGGTGGGGCACTCAACGGGGGCTGCTGCGGCCAGTTCCTTATCCTGGTCTTGGTATCTACATCGCCATTCCACGCGAGATGTGTTAGCGGTCTGGTACCAGTTCACAATTTAGTTATGTCGAAGATCGACCGACACGCAGTCCTTCCACCGTTTCCTTGGTCCATGGGCAGGTCTGACAGGTGGGAGCTGGCCAAACAGAAGGCACTTCGGCATGCGGGTGTCATCCATGCGCGCCAGGTGACCTAGCCACTCTAGCCGACGATGCCGAAGCTTACAGGTGATGGTCTCCGGATCGCCCCACATACGCAATAGTTCAGCATTGCTGATGTGGGCATCCCACATCTGCTGTCTCGACACACCAAGGATAGAGCGGACGCAACGCATATGGAAGGTGGACAGGCGTTGCAAGTCGCCCTGAAGGGGGACCCAGCACTCAGAACCGTATAGTAGTAAGGACATGACACACGCGTTGAAAACACACCTCTTCAAGAACACAGGAAGCTGACCATTGGCAAATACAGGGCGCTGTAAGGCACCACAGGCCTTAGAGGCACTCGCAATGCGGGCGTTGACGTCCACTGCCGAACGGCTGTTGCTGGCGATAATGGAACCCAGATACCTGAATTCAGCCACATTCTTGATCTCAACATCCGCCAGCGTGAGTGGGACACAGTCTGCATC